GATGATTATATCCAGGCTGGATGATTATATCCAGTCTATATCCTTCTTATGTTGAGGGCTCCAACCGGTCTATATCCTTCCTGTGTTGAGGGCTCCACAGCTGGATGCAGAACTCCAGGTGGGGTCTCACAAGAGGAGAGCATTGGGGCAGAATCCCCTCCCTCGACCTGCTGGCCACACTTCTCCTGATACAGCCCAGAATACAGTTGGCTTTCTGGGCTGCCAGCACACACTGCCAGCTCATGTTCAGCTTTTTGTCCACCAGTACCCCCAAATCCTTCTCCTCAGGGCTGCTCTCTATCCACTCTCCACCCAGCCTGTACTTGTGCTTGGGATTTCCCCAACCCAGGTGCAGGACCTTGCACTTGGCCTTGTTGAACTCCATGAGGTTGGCAGTGGCCCACCTCTCCAGCCTGTCAAGGTCCCTCTGGATGGCATCCCTTCCCTCCAGCGTGTCAACCGCACCACACAGCTTGGTGTCGTCGGCAAACTTGCTGAGGATGCACTCAATGCACAGCTTTTTATAAAAAGCTTCCATCATTCTTTTGTTGACTTCTGTAGATATGAAGGTTAAATTATCGGTATAACGTATTTTTAAAAGTGTACAGATACAACCCAAAAACTTTCTCTTGTTCTCTCTCCCCCTATGATAAAATAGAATTTCTGTATCAACATCTCCCTTTCATAAATGTGCCACTTTCTTAATGCCTTGCCAAACTACTGCTTTTTCCTTTTTTCCTTTTATGCATATAAGTGGAATCTGCTGTGTGCAATGATTAACAACTGTGTCTGGAATATATCTACAGCTTTTATATATATCGTATTTCTGTCTGGGCCCCAATTCTGCAGACCTTTATGCTTAACTTCACACAGCATGAATCTGTGACTTACTTTCTCACTTTAAAATGTATAACAAAAATCAAATTATCACTTGAGTAATTCATTGCTTTCTTGAATGCATTTGTTACCAAGCTTCATAGAAATATTTAAACAATATTTAAACAACAAGCTATTCAAACAACCTGCTAACTTACTGGATTCTAATTTCCTTTACACTTACATGAAGTAAAATTTCAAAAAAATTATACAACCATACAAATGTGTTTGTAATTTAATCTTTCTGACACACATTACATGAATGGTAATTTAAATGAGCCATACTTCCAAGTCAACTTTTAGATCTGAGTGATATCCAAAGTGAGCGAAATCAATACTTCAGATGCTGTAATGGGCTCATCACTCATGACGGAATGAGCACTGTTGGCAGGAAACTATGCTTAATATGAATAAGCAGGTCACACCTAGATTTGTATTCAGCGATTTCCTGCACAACTAGAGAAAGGGAAATAGAAAGATGTGATGGCTGAGATGCTGGTTTAGACCAGTCAAATATAATCTGTAATAGCTACCTTTCTGAATAAAATTACCACTAGGTCCAGCACTGAAGAGTTCCTTCTGTTTGATCAAATGGCTGTAAGAAATCTTTATCTTATAACACTATTTCCATACTTGTAAGGTTCCATTAAAGATGAAGATGATTCTCTGTATTACTAAATTTGCCCCAGATTCTCAGGCTAATTCTGCTAACAGGGTACTACAATTTCTTCTCATAATAATTTTAAAATTATTAACTCTTCTCATATTCACTGACTAAAATAACATAGGATGCAGCAAATGTGAAATTTTGTCCTAAATTAAGGAAATGAATCATGTTTCATTTTTTAAATTTTTACCACAGAAATCTACAAAGCAGCAGGTAATTCCAATCTTCTAACTTACCATGTTTAAACATTTTGCATTGCTTCAAACCAGTAAGTACATACAGATCATGGTCTCTCCTGTGTTTGAAATTGCACCTGAATGCTTGAGTACTCTAAGGCCTTGTACAAAGTCTAATGAAAGGTGTGAGGAGAAAGATGTCTGTTGCTGAGCATGAGTAACATACATTCTCTTACATGGTTATCACCTCCATACAGGGGGAGATGAAGTAACTTTTCTGTGCACCATAGAATCACAGAACGGTTTGGGTTGGAAGGGACCTTAAAGACCATCTAGTTCCAACCCCCCTGCCATGGGCAGGGACACCTTCCACTAGACCAGGTTGCTCAAAGCCTCATCCAGCCTGGCCTTGAACACTTCCAGGGATGGGGCATCCACAGCTTCTCTGGGCAACCTGTTCCACCCTCATTATAAAAAATGTCTTCCCTATATCCAATCTAAATCTACCCTCTTCCAGTTTAAAACTGTTTCCCCTCGTCCTGTCACTACAGGCCCTGGTAAAATTTTTCTCCGCCTTTCTTATAAGCCCCCTTTATATACTGGAAGGCTGCTATAAGGTCTCCCCAGAGTCTTCTCTTCTCTAGGCTGAACAACCCCAGCTCTCAGCTTTTTTTCATAGGAAAGGTGCTCTAGCCCTTACTCCATGTTAAGATCCATTCCATCTGAAAGCTCCATTTCACTTCCCTATGTTCCTGAGGTCTTTAGAATGGTTTAGCCTGGGAATTAAATTATCTGGTGGCCCACATCAGTCCTCTGAATAGTCACTCCATTTTTAACGAAATTATTTGCCTATACAGAAGAAATGATAAACTTGGTGTGAAAGACTGCCTGTACAAGTATGTCTGTGCACTGCTAAGTTTAGGAGATGATAATAGCAAAGAGCTGGCTGCTTGTATTTTTAAGAGACTTCAGCAATTCTCCTAACCTGATAATAAACATGAGCACATTATGAGAATAATATAGAACATTGCATCAGTGTAGACAGTAGACATAAACTATTACACTTATAGCCAACAGAAAATTAATTCTTAATGTTTTTACCTATCAGAGAACAACATTCATTGCCATCATCTTGCTATGCGTCTCAGATGCAACACAGAAGATGTTTATATAAATATATAGAGAAAGTATAAATAGTTTTACATATAGTTATATTTACTCTCTATATATTTCAGAAATTATTTCAGCACGTATTAAAGAACAGTTTTATAGAGATAGCTATCTATGAAGTAATAAATTGGTATGCATCCCTTGTGTTTCCTTCTCCTGTTGCTAAATACCTCCCTTTGATCAGATTCTTTCCATCATTCTTCTCCTTTCCCTGTCACATTCCCCCAGTTTTCCTTTGGTCTGACATGTCCTTTAAATTTTAGGGGTTTAGTTTTGTTCCTACCTTCTGTAGCAGGCCTGGAGAATTGTGTCTGCCTCTTCTCGCCATGTGCAGCTGGGAGTTTTGGCTATAATCATCCCAAATAATTCTCCTCTCTTCCTTAAAACCTGTACCACAATGGCATGACACATCTTCTCCACCTGCCTTTCAAACTTCTATCATCTTGGTTGGGAAGTCCTGGACCATGAAGTTCCTGGCCTAGTTATTTAATTTTCCTGAGCTAATGATGTACATTAAATTTCAAATTGTTTACTGGCATTTTACAGTTCTTCATGAAGAAGGAAAAGAGTACTTACAGTTTTACTCCAGGTGAGACCTGTGGTATGATGCTCTTTGATATAAGCTTGAAGGTCAGACCAGATGTTCAGATATGACTTCACCCAATCAACATGGCGTGCATCACTGTAAAAACAGAGACGATATTTATATGTATGAATGTCGGTATTTAAAACCAGAAAGCATCGCTACTCTTGCTTAAAGCAGGCCTTAAAGCTGTTAGCAGGCATCCAGCCAGCTCAGTGCTGAAAATACTGAGGCCTACTACACTGGAAAGCTTTTGGATCCTTCCAAAAGGAGGGACAAACAAGGGCAAAGGATGCCTCTAGCACAGAGTGCTTCCTGCTGGAAGGGTGTGTGGTCATCCTCCTGTTCAGGCTCAAAGTCAACTGAAGAAGCACTGAAGGTATATGCAGCTGTGCAGAAGCTACCCAGACTCAGTCTCAGGGTGTTGAATTTTAGAAAATTAAATATCTGTGGGTACTGTAAGATATTCTAGCTGCCAAGTTCAAACGTAGCCAAGGTAATACTGGATTGTGTTATAGTCATCAGACTGAAATATTTATACATCAAGAATTTTTGAAGTACAAGTCACAAGTTGGCTCTGGAATCATTATTTGGAAGGGTTAGTCTTCCGATGGGACAGTAAGTGAAAACAAAAAATACGTACAGAGAGAGAGAGAAAATGCTTGTGGAGATGGAGTCCTTACTTAGGATGATCCAGAAAAATATTATTACTGAATTATTAGTGACAGCTGTGGACCAAATGCTCACAAGGATTTGGCTGTCTACCTCCTATTTATTTCCTTTGGAGTTTGATGCTTAATACTGCTGAAGACCTGTGTCAGCAGGTGTAATCCAAAGCCTATTGAAGTCAAGGGAGAGCATTCCACTACTCTGGAAGACACTGTGATCTGATTCAGTGAAAAACAAGAAAATAATTCCTTATTAGGGGAAGAACTAAATACCTAAATAATGTACCCTTTCTATATCATTATGCAAGATGTTTTCTTCTCCAGAATAAGTACTTCTAAAGCCACACTGTAAAAATCTTCAGTTACCCCAGTAAGTACCTTCAGTAGGTAAACTAAGGCTTCAGGAATAATACATAATGTATATGCAATATAACATATGTTATATATAGTACATAACAAATTTTTATACATACACTCTAAATAGAAATAAATAGAAAGGCTTTTTATATATGTAAAGTTTTCCTCGCTAAAGAGGAAAAACTCACTGCAAATGCTGTTCTTCACTGGGATTTAAAAATCAAGAGGCAAAATCTGGCCTCCAGAAGTACCCAATCGACAGGATTTATACATGACATTTTAAAGAGGGCATAGGAAGGATCTGTATTTTTTCTCTTTCTCTGTCAGCTCACAAATCTCATTCATGGAACTTTTCTGTGAATTCCTTGTGCTCTTTAAGAACAATGCAGTGGTACAGAAAAACCCCAAACATCTGGGAGCTTCAGAATAAGACACTCAGTTGTATACACCTACCACCTAAATGCACATTTTCAAGGGAAGAGCGAGAACAGCAACAATATGAGTGCACAAGTGAGACAAGGATGCATAGCATCTTGCTAGCCACACACTGATATGTAAATATGCATTTGCATATAAGCTTATGATGCTGGAATGACAGAAAATTAAATATAATCCTATAATTTGCAAGAGAGTGAAAACCAGCCCTTCTAGTGCTGCTGCCATTCTCACTGCAACATGCTGCAGGTCAAAGATGAGGAGTGGAAAATATACTACTGCAAGCAAGATTTTATCAAATGCTTTTTAGTTTATAAAATGCTTTCTGTGGTAACACTGTAAAACCTACTGGTATGGTTAATGCTCTGTTCTCTGGCTAGGAGATACTGGTGCTTGGCAACATACCTGTGCTTGTAGTCCTTTAATACCCTGTTAGTATAAAAGGTAGCAGCATCATTCATCTCCTTGACATAAGGGCCTGGTTTAGGAGACTAGGACCATCAACCCATGGTAGCAGGAAACAACAGAAGGAGAAAGGAAGTAAAACATTAGTCAGACACCTTCCCTGATGTATTAGGTATATTATAAAACAGCTTCTTGGGTGTAGTAGACTGAAGAACTAAGCAGATGAGACTGCAGAGTTCTGCAAGATCTGGAACTATGCTGGGCCACCCCATCCAGAAGCACATTTGCAGCCCTCCCAGCCATCCTGCGTGTCACTCACCACTGCTATCCAGCCAAGGGCAGGTATGCTTTCACTGACAGCCGAGAGGTGGTTGAACATTTTACTTCCTCTGTTCCTTTCTCTGAAGTTCTGGATTTCCTGAATCTTCTCTGATATTGGCTTGAGAAGCATTGCCACCTCATTCTTAAAAAACCCAAAAGACACTGCTGTTAAAACAGGTAGTACGAATTCATCCTGTGGTGTAACACTGTCCTCCCTGCCCATTGATTTAACAGTTGGAAAGAAAAGTCAACATATTCTCTGCACTGAAGTAACAATTTAATTACCATGCTCTGGTTGGAGCAGCAAAATGCAGAGACATTAAGAATTAATAATGTGTCACAGCAAAGATTGTTCTCGGCACTGGCAGCATTTTTACACGCTGCCCAGGTTAAGACCCATAGAGACCCAGTATCTTAAGATCAGCAGAATGCTTCATGTGATAGCCATGGAACATTGTGAGAGTCTTTACATGGGCTTGAGTTTTTCATGTTATTAACCATGTTCTTCTTTCTGTATGCACCACAAACTACTCGCTAGGTTAGTGGCCTCCTATCATCTGGCAACAAGACTGAGACAGTAATACGCTGAAAGCAATTATCAATTTTAGCTTCCCCTATTGCTAAGTTTTAATGTTTTAATTTCCTTTGGCTTCAAGTAATGTGGGAGGATTACTGCCTGCCAGCCATGGTTTGGGGAAATTCTCCTTTGTTAATCAGAAACGAATGGTATCCAGGGGAATGACTGTTGAGCGGAAGGAATAGTGTCTGGAGTGAAAAGCAGAATGAATGTAGAAGCTATCCGAGCTCTTTCCTGTGCAAAGTGAATGCTAATCACACTGGCCCAGCGTCTCAGAAAAAATAATTTAGAGCACCAACTTACTAGGAATAATTCTTCCACTCCGAAACAACACATCGAGGGACCAGAAGTCATCAGGTTACAACCGAACAACTGCAGTACCTTGCTGCCCTACAAAATGTTTCTATAAAACCACTACAATTCTTTATTGCAAAAGAATGGCCACAGAACCCATAGTATGTCCCACCAAAAGAGTGCACCATGCCAATTTCCCTGGCACTTGACTTGTAAATCACTCCAGATGCAGCAGAACTAGCTATTTTTTCCTACCTTTTCTCAGAACTAGTTGTTTCATAGAATTAAATGCTTGTTGGAAACGACTAATCCTCATATTCCTGAGGACTAATGCTGTCGTGACACACGGAAAGACCATGTGCGCACATGCGCTACTCGACCTCTGTCATGTGTACGTACATTTCACCCTTTCGCAAGACCTTAGCTTTGCAGAATTTTATGTCACCTTAAAATAAGCATGTTTGCTATGGATCAACATAGGTCAAAAGACACTTCCAAAAACGGGACAAAAAGGGGTTCTGCATTTTTAAAAGAACTGTGGTCCAACTATGGAGCCTTAATATTTTAGTGGTACTGTAATTTTGAGAAAAGCCTAGGCATCTAAAAGGCATGGGGATATTTGGTCTTTACAACAAAGCGTGTTGGGGGAAAACAAATATTTACAGTATTACTGGGAGATGAAAAGATTTTTTGTTGATGGCTTAATGAGACCGTCATAAGTCATTAAGTGTGAAAAAGGCCTGAAACCTCCATGATTTGTGGTTCTTAAAAACTGATTTTGTTGCCATAACATGATAAAGCCTGCAGGAATTCTGCTTTCTAATTTTTGCTTGTTTACAATATGCTGCAGCTGGTTTGTTCTTTCTTATTTTGCAGGGAAATCTTTCAAGTATGACAGTAGTTAACAAAACTGAAATTTAAGAAAGTGCTTGTTCTGCTTTGATGTTATGCCAGTTTTCCTCCCATAAAGTCGAAGGGATATTTACAGTCCTTAGCTTACTGTGAATCTTCATGGCGCAGTTCTAGCCAAAAAGAATATCAGGCCTAAAAATACAGCTCCACAGATGCCCAGTGTATCCAGGAAGCACTGGGAGGCAGCACGTTTCTGTGGATAGGGCACAAAAGTGAGAGTCCATAAATGGGGGTTCTCTTTGCGGCCCTCCCACCAAATTATCATCAGGTTTCAGGAATGCTGTGTTACCTTTCTATGCTTCAACTTCTTATATATGAAATGATGCTAATATAGCTGTTCTGTTTTGTAGAACACCGTGAAATCTACAGATAATGTGGCAAAATTAGGGCTAAACATCATCCTGAATGGTACAATAAGACCCATGCCTCCTCCTACGCCTGCTAGAAAAACAGCCAACCACTTCTGTGAGGGTTTTCTATCAGTGGTACAGACAGAATTTCTATCCCTTAGAACACAGGACTTAATCTGTCCAGCGAGTCAGCTGTTTATAAAAATGTAGTGGATTTATGTAATTTCACAGAAAAAGTGCCCTGTGGGAGTTTAAAAGGTGGAATATATGTTGCTGAGGAAACTATCTCGAAGTAATCATTCCCTGGCCCTGTGGTGACACCAGGAAGAGCCACACAGGGCCTGAGGCTTTGCTCAGCTCTGTCCCATGAGCTGTAGCAGGAGAACAGTACCCTCTGCCTTCCCTTCGTCCTGGTCTGCAATGGCTGCTGGCGGGCTGCACAATATGTGCGTGTGCGTTTGTGCAAGCTTCTTGTGATCCAAGTTTCTGTGTAAAGGTTGGACACAAAGGAATACTGCACTGCAAGGGGTCACTTAATTGAGTCCTGCCTCCCTGCACTCAGTTCTGAATTTTTAGTTACTGATTAAACTGCAGATGAATTATAGTGTATATGGCATATGGGCATAGAAAGGCTCATTAATTCTGGCAGTAATCAGTCTTGTTTGGCTTTACAATGCAGAACCAGTTGTGCTGAGGGTTCTAGAAGAATACTCTCTTTATTGCAATGAATATTAAACCAGCTGGTTGTTAATAAAATGATTGTCTATACTGTATCTCTAAGAAAAAATGAATTCAAGATGAATCAGAGCTGTTGGAAAAACCTTCAGCATGCCTTTGGCATGTACTAGATAAAATTTCCTGTCATTTAAGACACAGCACAGTTGTTTAACAGATATTTAAGAGTCTCTGTATAAAAACCATTCCTATATCGGTTTTGCTCAAATGCTTAAAAGTGCAACAGTGGCACAACTTAGAAACATTAAAAGTAATTCCCAGTGTCCTTTTTAAATAATTATTAAAACCAGATGGTCTTTTAAAATATTGATACCTAAACAAACTGGCCAGCTTTGATCTCTATCTTATAATCCTTCTTATAAAATCAAGAGTAGTAAGACTGCTGCAGTGATTAGCCAAAACGCTCCAAAAAAGTTACAGCATGCAACAAGAACTGCCTTAGGCTTCTGCTTCAGAGACTTAACAGTCTCAGCCCAGTCTCATAAAACAGCCTGGCATAGCGGTATTCCAAGAGACCGCACCAAACATACTTTCTTCTCCTTCACATTTTTTTAACACTCACCTGAGAAGTTCCCAATGTGACAGGTTTAACAGGACTAGGGCACTGGGATTCACTTCAGGAGAATGATCAAACTTTTGGGTTTTGTGATTTTCGTGGTTTGCCTGTGAAGTCACACTAAACTGAGTGGCTTGCTTAAACTCTGGCTGCTTAAGCCAGTGATTACTTGAAAATCTCAGCTTTCATTTTAGAAAACCGGTATTTTCTCAGGACCACTGCTGTCCAGAAACCTGCCAGCATGAATCACACAGGCGCAAAACCCAGCAGGTAAATAAAAATACAGTTTTAAAGATCTTATGTATTTTTAAGCTAATCTTACACGGTTTTGAGGGGTGAGATTGTTTACAGAAGAATTTTTATGTTGACGGGCAGCAACAGAATTTGGACCTCACTATTATTGTGTATAAATCAACCTGACTTATTATGAAAAAGCCATGGCAGGGGAACAAGTACCCTTTTAAGTTATGCTAATTTTACTCAGCTGCAGCCAGAACAGCATGGCTACAACCTTTATTCCATGGTGTACAGTTCTGTTATTTTCTTCTGTCAGGTCAAAATCCCCATCATACTTAGATTGTATTTTTCACAGGCAAGTTTGAAACATGGAGTTGATTTCACTCAGCCGCCTTTGTATATGTTGGCAAGTAGTGCAGCCTAATAGGAAGGGTTCTGTAGCACAAAGCAGTTGGTGCCGAGGGCCTGACATTCACACTATATGTGTTTGGGGCGGCAGCTGTTTTGGACTAGCTGTAAATCGTGGTTTAGGTGCTGTCTGGGAGCGTATCTTCCATTTAACTTCATCAGGAAGGTACACATTTTGTACAACCTACAACTGCTGTACAGCGTGAATCACAGCACAGTAAATGGGGCTGATCTGAAGGAGAAATACAGTCCCACTGTGAACTAAAACCCTAATGCAGGCACAGCCATTATCTCCGCAGACAGCCTAGTACAGCCTCATCCCACAGTTCATCATTTCAAGGGGTGAAAGATGTCAGGGATAGCGTTCACCACACTCAGTTCTAACAATTTAAAAGGTAAGCATCTGCTCTCAGCTGAGACTTGATTCCCTCTATTGTAAGTGAAGAAAGAATTCCCTGAGGAATTTTTTCCACCTATTAATAGATGTTAGAAGACTATGTAATGGAAGACATTAATAGATGTGAAGACTGCACTCTAGAGGTGCTGCCAGTCACTGTAAAGAGAGCCTAGAAAGACACCTTACACAACGTGCCTACCTTGACAGTTAAAGCTGACGAGCAGAATCCCATCCTCTATCTATAGGAGTAAGATACTTGTAGCTTCAGTACCAGCGAGATGCACTTCTGCTATGGGTGGCTATGATTTTAAACTACAATAGTTTTCCCATATTCTGTATTTTGCAAAGGGCAATCTGTAAGGAGACTTTAAAATTTAAGTTAGTCCTTTGTACATATGTGGTTTGAGGCAGTCCTCTTTTTTTTGTTGTAGCTGTGTAGCAACTGTCTGAAGGGAATCAGTGTTCAGATTTGGTGGCAGAATAACCTCTTTCTTCGTATATATAAAGTATTTTTTTCCAGAGATCAATCTAAGCTAGTTGGTAACTTTAAGACCCCGAGTGCTGCATCTGGATTACTCAAATGCATACTTTTTTTTAAATTTTCCCTATTACTTCCATGGTAAAATACTACCAACTTCTGTTGGCAGCTGTCAAACTGTTCTTTCAGCACTGCCTA